CTATAATCCCTGGTTGAAATGTCTGAATTTTTGTTCTGTGTTATCCTGAGAAGGTCCTTGTTTCCATCCAAGCTGTTCCCAGAAAATTGGAGAAGATATGATTTAACCCTTGAGTGAGTATTTCTTCCCAGTGAACACCTTAAACTTAGCTTCTTCGGATTTTGTTGAAGTCTCTTGCTTGATGTTCTTTGGATCAACCTATACATTTAGATGACATACAACACCCATAGTTATCTTTCAATGGATGATGATGACTAACTGGATCCACATGAATGGAAAAAAATCTAAATAAGAGACAATACTTTTTTCGCAGCTGGTTTGCTGCTTGAACCACCAAAGACAAGCTTTCCTGATTTTTGCCTTGGTGTGGTGCACGACAACTCCTCATTGTCTTTTCCGTTCTCAGTTGGCTTTTCCTCTTGTTTCATATCTTCTGGCTCAGTTGATTTTGTTTCTGTTTTCCCATCCAAACGTTTTCCCGATCCAGTGAACGGCGTGAATTTGGAAACTTTGCTTGTTGGTTCCTCTTCCTCAACTGCAAGGAACAGAAACGAAAATGGAGTACAACTTAGAAAGAAGAATCTCGATAACCGATAGAGAGAAATTCCAAATAAACTCAATGAAAACCTTCTCGAGGTCGCTTCTTTAAGGGAGGAGTCAACTTTTGTGGCTTCTCAGGTTCTTTGTAGTCAAGAGGAGGAGCAAAATCAACCTCACAATCCGTTTCTATTATACTCACAGCTGAAGAAGGTTTTGTCTCAACCACATCGATAAAATATTTCTTATTGTTATAAGGAACCATAATTGTATCGCCCGTTGTTAAGCAAGTGTAACTCCGAAGTGTAGTCTCCAAGCTGCAAATCAGGAATGTAAGAAATACATTCTTCAAATGCAAAAACCCAAAAATTATTCAGTTTCAAAGCTACAAACATGGCTTTTGGGTTGGAAACGTCCAAGAAATCTTGGGTATGAGGCTGCAGCTTGATGTAAGTCCCTTTTACCAAACTGGTACTCCTGATTTGCACCATATCTCCCTCTTGAAGAGACATGTTTTGCATCATCTATAAGTAATAATACCAACAAAACAAAGAAACTGAGACTCCAAAACAAAAAGGGAAAGAAACAAAAGACAAAGAGGATGCAAAAAGTATATACCCAATACGGCAAGTAAACAAGGCCTTCGTCTGCGACGAATTCCAGTACACCGCAATGTGTGGTCTTCCCAACAGAAGTATTACTCAGTTGAAACAACATTGGGTATTCAATATGCAAGGAAGCTGCGAATATGGATTCAAAGACCAGAGATTATTATACTGGTAAGGCAGAAAGTTCAAGTAAAGATAGTAGAAGATATGATATCACTCGCTTACCAAGACGATCAAGAGCAGAAGGAGGCATGATAACTGCAGATATATATATAAGTAATGTCAGAGAGATATCGAAACCCGATTTGAAAGAAACTATATAGAGACTAAGGGAAGAGAGTAATTTACTTTTGTCACCCTTCTCAAGATGTGCCTGCGTTAAAAATGTCTAAAATTAGAATCATTCTCTTCTTCAAATCACAGGATAGAGACACAAGTGGAACAAACTCAAACATGTAAAATATATCGGACCTTGTCAATGAATGTGACTGGGTAACAACGGTAACACTGTTCAAAGCTAACTCCATCCATCTCCACTGCCACAAATCAACAAGACAATAAAATAAACAAGTTCAGAATCCATTAAGTAGCTGCGAGCAGTTTTACAACACAAGTCATTCATTGAGGCAAATCGTCGAAAACCTTGTGGGCACAAATAAAAACAACTTTTTGTTTCCTTGTTCTCAGCTTCTGGATTACATACGATGGTCAATTCCGAGTTGCGACTTACAATTTTCAATTCAGACCCAAAACAGATAAGATCTTAGCAGAGAAAAGAAAATCAAAGGCGATTATCGAAAAACTTAAAACATGCTAAATCCAAACTTTTGGAACTGAAATCCAAATTTGATTAAATAACTTAAACATGAAGGAGAAAGAACATGAATAACAATAAAGTTTGCTAAAACTTGATCAAGCGTACCAAACGATCCGATTAAAAGGGTTTTTGCAGATTGAATATGGAAGAAACTTTGA